GGGGGGGGGGGGGAGTGCTCCTAAAATCCCTGTGAATAGACCCAAAAACCTGTCTGGGATGGCTTGGCCCAAATCAGGGCGCAAAACCACTGATGGGAAAGCGAGTGGAAAAGTTAAAACCAGCATTTTCCGCTGGAAAAAAAATCCAGCATCTGGGGAAAATCCCGGAGCCCCGCGGAGGGTAGTGGGTGGGGGCGAGTCCCGTCCCCCCGGCCCGGGGCTTCTCCCCTCCCCCCGGTTCCCAGCTTTGCTTTTCCCCGTTTGGAGCCGGATTTTAAATCGCTTTTTTGTTGGCCCCGGAGCTGAGGAGCGAAGGGGACGGCGCGGTCTCGCTCCTCGGGGCCGGGGCAGAGGACGGGCTCGGAGAAGGAGCCGGGGCCGGGGCGGTCCCGGGGCCGGCCCGCCATGAGGGCAGCGCTCGCCCCCGGGGTCCGCCTGCTCCGCGCCCTCCCCCGGGACAGCCGGTGAGCGGGGATCGGGGACGGGGGGGACCGACGGCGGGAGAGGGACCGGCCCCGAGATGGGGACCGGCCCCGGCCCGAGGTCACTCGCCTGGGGACCGGCCCCGGGATGGGGACCGCCTCGGGAACGGGGACTGGTCCTGGACCAGAGGATCGGGACTAGCCCGGGGACTGGCACCGGGATGGGGACCGGCCTGGACCGAGGTCGCTCGCCTGGGGACCGGCACTGGGATGGGGACCGCCTCGGGGACTGGTCCCGGACCAGGGGACTGGCACCGGGATGGGGACCGGCCCCGGCCCGAGGTCACTCGCCTGGGGACCGGCACTAGGATGGGGACCGCCTCGGGGACGGGGACCGGTCCTGGACCAGGGGACTGGCACCGGGATAAGGGACCGGCCCTGGACCAGGGGACTGGCACCGGGATAAGGGACCGGCCCTGGACCGGGCTGATGGCTCTCCCAGGGACCGGCCCTGGCTTGGGAAGCTGCCCTGGGCTGAAGGTCACTCGCCAGGGTCCATCCTCACCCCTCAGGTGCCAGGTCCACCCTGAGACCGGCTCCAGCACCGAGCTCATGGCTTTCGGGGTGACTGAGGTTCTGTCCCGGGGACGGAGGGCACTCAGTCATTGTGGGGCTGGGCAGGGGGGCACGGGGGGACCCCGAGATGGCAGCAGTCCCCAGTGATCCTCAAGCTGTCCCAACACACGTGCCAGGCCCTCCAAATTCGGTGGGATGTGGCCAACACCAAGATCCCGCTGGTTCCCCTCCCTTTTGGTGAGGCGAAAATTAATATATTTGAATATATTGCAATTTTGGAAGCCTGTTGCCAAACACTCCCCCCATCAGCTCCCACTTCTCCTGCCAGAACATCTGGGGAAAAAACAACCAACAACCCCAGGCACCCATCCACAGTGAATCGCAGTGAAGTTTCTCTTCCCCTTCTTGCCACGGACCCTCCACTCCCCTCACATCAGCCCCCCCCCCAGTCTCCAGCAGTGATTTTGGGGGGGGTTCAGATATTTTTTGGGGTGGGAAGCTGGGATTTTTCTGCTGTGGTGCAGTCTGGGGGCTGGCAGTCCGGAAAGCAGAGCTAGATTTGCAGGGTGTCTGGAATTGTGGCAGTTTCATGAAGAAGTGAAACTGGAAGAGGAGTGGGATGGGCTAAAACTGCAAAAAAAACCAAAAGACAAAAAGGCTTTTTTTTTTGTCGGGTTTGTGTTTTTTTTTTTTCTAAACTTGGAGCAACCCCATGACACTTCGTGGTACCGGAGCCGCTGCTCCCTGACCTCTCACATCCTCTGCCATGCCATAAAACACTCCCTAAACACAGGACGGGGAGGTGCTCATCCTGCTCCGCATCCCATCTGGGATTCTCCAGGCATTACCAATTTTCCCAGGAGCAGCATGCCTGTCCCAAAGCCCAAATCCCCATTTTTTCCCCCATCTCCCTGCATTTAATTCAAGCAAAAGAGATAAAGTTGCTATTCGGTGGAGGAACTGGAGCGGGTGTTGTTTGGGTCTTCCCCCCCCCTTTTTTTTTTACCTGCTCGCCTTTAATTAACGCCGGGAGTGACAATGAATCAGCCGTGCTCTCGTGCCCTGTTTCCACCCGTGACGCAGGAAGGCGTTCGCTCACACCCACAGCTCCAGGAGGGGGAAACACTGGTTACTGCTCCCCCAGACACTCAGCTTTTTGTGCCACATCCCTGTCAACTTGGTGGGGGGGAGGGGGATGGATGACTAGTCCCCTCTCTCCCCCCTGGCCTCAGCTAGTTCAGCTCACCCATCCGGCAGAATTGTCCCCACTTGGTGGTTTACTGGGAAAATGAGCAGAAACAGAGCGTTTTTGCACTTCCCTGAGACCCCACGGGACAAACAGCGGCAGAACTGTGTGTGCACATCCCAAATCCACATCTGCATCGCAAGCCAATTCAGCATCTCATCCCCCCTCCTCTTTTTCTCCAAAACCCATGAATTTGGGGAGTGAAGGGGGAGAGAAGAGCACAGCTCACAACAAGGTTGGAGATGTCCAAGCCATTTCCCAGCTGGGACGGTGACATCCTGTCCCCATCCCTGTCCCGCCACCCCCAACCCCTCCGCTGGTTTTATCCCGCAGGTACCGGGGGCTGACACTGGGGCTGACCTTCCTCAGCTACACCAGCTACCACCTCTCCCGAAAACCCATCAGCATCGTAAAGGTCAGCTCCAGCCTCCCCCCCAAGTGCAGGCAGAGCGGGCACGGGGACAAAGATGGATGGGGGGAGGGAGGGGATATCCTCCAGCATCCCCATTTCACCCCTTCTCTCACCCCACAGAGCCAGCTGCACCCCAATTGCTCAGCCTTGGGCCCGAACCCCAACAACTACTCCAACAGCAGCACATGGTGCAGCTGGGCACCCTTTGGTAAGGCTCTGTGCTCTCCCCGGCATCCCAAAAACCACCCAGACGAGTTGGGCTCCCCCACCCCCCCATGCCAAAGCCAGGTCGTGGCTGGAGATTTTGGCAGGGGGCCGGCTGCTCATTATGCACCCGGAGGTAATTAAGCAGCCTGTGTCTGCCCTGTGCCCCCAGGCCAAAGAGCAGCAGTCGGTGGTGAAATAGGGGTCAGGACGGGAGCAGGTCCCGGTGCTGATAGCACCCGGCCACACGCCGAGATCCCCCCACGGGACAGAAGGGGTTTGGGGACAGGGGACAAAGATGATGTCCCCAGCGGGGACATCCCCAGGGGACAAGGATGATGGCCCCAGCGGCCACAGGGAGGGAAAACAAGATGGGGACCAGGCTGATGTAGCCTTAATATTTCTTTTCCAGATGGGGACAACTACAAGGAACTTTTTGGGGCGCTGGACAATGCCTTCCTGGTGGCCTATGCCGTTGGGATGTTTATAAGGTACCCTTTGCACCCCTTTCCCTCCACACACCAGTTTGCACCAGTCCTCCCCGAAACTGGTTTCCTATTGGGCTGGGGTCATGCTAACAGGAAAGCAGCTGGGTGCTGGGAGCCACTTGGGATTCGGGGCACTGGCTTGGTGCGGTAACATCCATCGGTGGCAATCACCCGTGACAGCTCCTGTCCATGCTCTTCCCTCTCTCCACAGTGGCATTTTTGGGGAGCGTCTCCCCCTGCGCTACTACCTCTCTGGGGGGATGGTGCTGAGTGGGCTCTTCACCGCGCTCTTCGGCCTCGGCTACTTCTGGAACATCCATGTCCTCTGGTACTTCATCATCGTGCAGGTGTGCCCGTGCTGGAGGATGCCCTGACTCCACATTTTACTGCTGCAGCCTCATCCTGCTTTTTTTTGGTGGCTTTTGGGGATGGAAGTGGCCCAGTTTCCGAGCGGGAGAATGCTGGGCATTTCTAATCCCCGTAAAACCCGGTCGCGTGTGGTGTGGGCACCGAAACCACCAGGCGCACCCGTCTTGCTAAGCAGGGAGAGCGGCTGGTTTGGCAACACCAGCCACTCCCAATTGAGCTATGGGAATGATACAAACAGCTCCAGGACTGGGGAATGGGGGAGAAAAAAAAAAAACCCACAACCCAAAAGAGCATTTTCTCAACAGCTTTGGGATGGGGAGCTATTTTTGAGCCTGACTACCCAAAATAAGCACAGGGCATCACGCTGGCACTCACCAGGTGCTGCTGCCGCCACGTAATGCCACCCATCTCTTACCAGGTCTGCAATGGGCTGGTGCAGACGACCGGCTGGCCCGCCGTCGTGGCCTGCGTCGGGAACTGGTTCGGGAAAGGAAAGTGAGTGTTTCTCCACTGTGTCGCCCCTTGTCCTCATCCCTGTCGCCACCCCAGCAACACCAATCCCGGCTCTGTCCTCGCCAGGAGAGGTTTGATCATGGGCATCTGGAACTCGCACACCTCCGTCGGCAACATCTTAGGGTCGCTCATCGCCGGTGTTTGGGTTTCTTCCACCTGGGGTCTGTCCTTCATCGTGCCCGGCATCATCATCGCCATCATGGGCATCATCTGCTTCTTCTTCCTTGTGGAGTGTGAGTGGCATGGTCATAGCAGATGACTGGTGTAATCCCAAGAGCAGCAGGGCCACAATTTTTCTCCTTAACGCGTCTCCAACTGTTTTTGGCAACCCCAAATATTTATTTCCAGTTTGCAGTAAGCAGGGAGGTGGACCCAACACCCACAGGGATGCTCAGCATCCTTTGGGCTCATCCAGGCAGGCTGAGCCCCTGTTCCACTAGTTCCTCTCAGCCTGTATTTCTAGGGAAGATGTAGGATGCCCTTTGGGATTTTACCAGGGTTTTTCGCTGCTGGGAAGCGGGTACTGGGAGGTGCAGCCCAGCCCCGGGGAGTTCCCAGTGCCACCTTTCTCCCCTGCGGTGTGAGATGCTGGAGGGAGGGCAGGCAGAGTGGAGCTGGTCCGGGCTTTCATGGGCTCTCCTTTCTCCCTGCAGATCCCGAGGACGTGGGCTGCAGTCCGCCTCTGCATCACGTGAGTCGAAACGATTCCCAACAGGCTCATTCTGGGCTGGATGGTCACTCAATTCACAGCGAAACAACTGGGGTGTCAGGTCATAATGCTAGAAATTAGAGGGATGTTCAGTTATCGCAGAGGATGCTCGTTACTCTGGTGTGAGCATCCTCCAGGTCACATCCCGGCAAAGAATCTGATGTTTCAGCCCCTTCCAGGAATGAGAGCCACATGTCCTGCTTTTGACTTGCTTTTAGATGGCCTCTGATGAAGATGACGCTGGAGGGGTGACCTCCAGTGAGAAGGATCCTGAAGCGGTCACCTCCAACGAGGGGCCGCTGAGCATCTCAGGCCAGAGCAACACGGACTGCTCCAACAGCCTCAAGGAGCCAGTTGAGGAGCCTGAAGCCATCAGCTTCCTTGGAGCACTCCAGATACCCGTGAGTTGCAGGATGCCCCTTGTGTCATGATGGGGATGGGGGAAAGACCAAAGCCAGGGCAGCTCACCCGATCAATGAGATGCCCACCGGCCAGAAAACTGGGGGAAAGCCCACCATCTGGAGGAGGCTTGGGAAAAGGAGGCTCCTCAGATGTCTTCTCTTCTTCTCCCAGGGTGTCGTGGAGTTCTCCCTTTGCCTGCTCTTTGCCAAACTGGTGAGCTACACCTTCCTCTACTGGTTGCCCCTCTACATTGTCAACGTGGGTGAGTTTTTGGGGAGGGTGAGGCGGGAGTGAGCCTGGCAAAGGGGAGCATCTCCTCACCCCTCTCCTCTCCCTCGCAGCTCATTTCAGCGCCAAGGAAGCCGGAGACTTGTCGACCCTGTTTGACGTCGGGGGTATTTTAGGTGCGTCACTTACCCGGGTGTGGAGGGTGGATCAGGAATGGTTTGGGGACAATTCTGGCCTAGATGGACAGTCCCCTCCATGGGAGCACATTGCTGGTAACACCATCTGTTTCCCCAGAGCAGCACAGTGAGTTTTATTCAGCATCCATAGCACTCAGCAGGCAGCAAACGCCCCTAGCTTTTATTTTGCCATCCAGGTGACCATTGCTACACCTTTCCTTGGGCTTTGTTTGCTCAGGTTCTCCTTTTTCTTAGATAAATAATACATTTTGCAATCCTAGAGGAGACCAGAGCTGCATGTAGGTGCAGGGAAACAATCTGCAGGGAGCAAGCGGCAGGGATAAATCAAAGCTCTTCGCTCTGATATTACTGCATTTAACTGTGGGAGCATCATGCTTAAAAGCCAGGGGATGAGAGAGCATCACAGCGCAGCATCCTGTGGGGTTCTGGGCTAAGCCAGGGCGAAGCTTTGCTGCTGGGGCAGCGTGACAGACACCTGTGTCTCCTCCTTGCAGGGGGCATCTTTGCCGGCCTCATCTCCGACTATACCGGCGGCAGAGCCACCACGTGCTGTGTGATGCTGGTCGTCGCCGCTCCCATGGTGTGTTGTCACACGGGGAAAAAACCCAGTCATGAGTGTTTCCTCTTCTCTGGCTCCTTTGAGTCACAGCCACCTTCCTCTTCCCAATGCCCGGGATGAGCTGGTCATGTGCTCAGCTGAGACGAGAGTTGGGATCGATCCACGTGGCCAGATGTTCCCAGGATGGACATCCAGATCTGGGGGCTGGGAGGGGATTGTAGAGTCCTTGACAGCTAAAAAAACCCCAAACCTTTTAGGTTTTTTGACCTCCATCCTGCTATAACCCTGCTCTTTCTTAAAGCCTTGGGGATCCCACCAAGCCGGGCCAGCTTTTTCACCTCTTTGCTTTGCATCCCCAAAAGCCCCCATGCCGATGGCCTCATGCTCTGCTGGCACTTGGCCGGGACATCCTTCCCGAGCACCTGCACAGAGCTCGTTTGGCTTTGCTGCCGCAAAAAAAAAGCAGCTAATTAACTGTAATCCAAGCCTGGCTGGCTCCGGGTGGTGAGTCTCTCCCCTGTGAAAAAGGTGGCACATGCTGAAAAGCAGAGAGGCTGTGTCACATCCACGTCCCCCGATAGCAGCAGCGGGGCAAATTACCGTCTGGCTTCGGCCAGCGGGGAGGCGCGTGAGCCTCGCAGGGCCATAAATTGTGGCGGCACCTCTGTTTGCCAGCTGCCAGGTATTTCATCTGGCAGGCAGACAGTGGGATGCAGAGCCAAGGGCTCGCTCAGCTCTCCGTCCCAGCTGGCACTCTCCTCTTCAAACCCTGAATAGAGGGGGAGCTGCAAAGTTTGCCGACAGTGATAATTCAGGTCCCCAACTTTCTCTATCCTGTACCCGGGATGCTGCTGCTGGGGACATGCTTGGGAAGACAGCTGGAATAGTCATAAACTGGTTCATCCTGTGTCTCTTTTCTAGCTATTCCTGTATAACCACATTGGCCAGAACGGCATTGGCACATCAATAGGTAAGGAGCTCCTCGGAGCAGCCAGATACCCTCACCGAAGGGGCTATGGGAGAGAGATGCTGCAGTCACACCTGCCTTTATTCCTTCTCTCAAGCTGGGCTCCCAGCCCGAAATCTGGGGGAGGGTGGTGCTGGCTGAGTGTTTGCCGCCTGCTGGGTGGGATCTCCTAGGGAAAATGGAGATGAGCAGGAGATAGATGCACAGGACAGTGATGTCCGCACACAGGCTGGGAACGATGGACCCAACATCCTGCTGCTCCCTGCACTTAAAGATTTAATCTCTTCCTGGGTACCTCTGTGCCTGTCTTGTTCCTCGTAGCGATGCTGATTGTCTGTGGTGCTCTGGTTAACGGGCCCTACGCTCTCATCACGACAGCAGTTTCGGCAGATTTGGTAAGAGGCACACCTCAGACCCCTCGCCCCAACCACCTTGCCCACCAAAAGGCTGCTCCCTCTTTCCTGGGGTAATATTTGCTGGGGATTTTTGCATTTTAGTTTTGCTTTCCCATGCCTCTGAAGCCCAGCAGAGAAGGGCAGGGCTGTCACACCTCCTCATGCCACGGTCGGCACCTTTCCTTAAACATGGCTTTTTTTCCTATTGCTTTTTCACCTGGGCTGCACGACTCTGCTTCAGCTCCGGTGCATCTCCCTCTAAGCACAATCATGGTGGAAAAATTTGCTGAGAAACCACCTAGGGTTGCTGCCCGCTGCTGGCGATGCTGGTTTTGCTGTGGCTTGGCTGCAGGCAGCATCCAAGTTCAGTCTTCCCATCCACGGCTGGGTCCGATGCATGGAATTGCTGCCCGGGGTGTGAGCAACCTCACGCTAGGACTTGCTGGCTGCAGACCCCAAAGCTTCTTTTCCTCCTTATGTTTTACTGCTCCATCCCTACAGGGAACCCACGAGTCTCTCAAAGGAAATGCCAAAGCCCTTTCTACCGTCACGGCCATCATTGACGGCACAGGATCCATAGGTATGTACGTCCAGGGGTGCTGAGCACTGATTTCTTCTGTGCTGCAGTGCTGAGGGGTGCTGGTCCCCTCTCCCCAATACACAGGGCATCTCCTCATGTGCCTTGGGCCCCCTCGCAGGTGCCGCGCTGGGGCCGCTGCTCGCAGGACTCATCGCCCCCACGGGCTGGAATAACGTCTTCTACATGTTGATTGCAGCCGATGTCTTGGCTTGCCTGGTAGGTTCCTTCCTCAGTGTTTTGCTGCTATGGATATTCAAAGGGTTCCTTGTAGCCACCCGCTTGCTGGCAGAGGGTAGGGACAGTCCTCAGGAGACAACCAGGCACGGGGCGAATCGCAAAGCCCCAGATTGACTCCAAGCCTTTGCCTCCATTTGCTTGGCTTTTCCCAACAACCTCCTCCACGCACAATTTTAATTGATGCAATCTTCCTTAGGAAGAGCCTCAAAATTTCTCTCCCAGTGATGGAAACTCGTGCTAAGGCTGGTGGTTGCAGAGCCATCAGCCCCATGGTGATTTTCCACCTTTCTCTTCTTGCAGCTCCTTGCTCGAGTGGTGGTCAAAGAGGTCCGTGGGTGGTGCGGCTGCATAGCAAGGAAGAGAGGGTACGTATGTACCGTCCCGGGGTGGCCTCCAGTCCTGCAATGCCAAAATATGGCCTTGGTGCTGCTCCAAAAAGATGTTTGTTACCCCTTGCTGTCACTGCTGCACCTCCATGTGGGCATCACGAGGCCCATCTGCCCAACGTCTCAGTGCTGTGGGCACAAAGACCTTCCCACCTCAAGCCAGGGCAGCACCCGGGGGATTTTAGCCATCCGTGCCTCACAACACTCTCTCGGTGCTAAACATGCCATCCTTGTGTCTTTGTAGCTCTAGCGTGCAGCTAACAGAGTCAGTGCTGGATGGGAAGTAGCTCGGTGTGAGTATCCCCACTTGAGCCCCAAGGATTAAATGCAAACGCAAGCCTGATTCACCCCGATTTTGAGTTTCACTTGGCAGGCTCAGCCTAGAAACAGCTGCTCCGCTGATAATTTAAGGGCCGAGATTAAGATTTGGGAATCAAGGGATCAAATCGCGATGGCTGGGAATGCAGGCAGGCGGGTGGGCAGCCCGTCCTTGCTTCCAGCTGACTTCTGAGACGCCAGCCCAGATGCCCAAGTGATTGGCATTGATTAATGCACTCGAAACGGCTGAATTTATAGGCTGCCTTGCCCACCCGTGCTAATGAGCTTGATTACACAGAGTGCAGGCTCGCTAATCAAATCCGTGGCCAAATCACTGCAGCAAAGCGTATAAATAATCTCTAAATCAGCACTGGCCCAACTCCGATTGCCACCAAAGCCCCACTGAGAGCACCAAGGGGGAAAGCTCTGCAGCCAGCCCAGAGGTGGGGGTGCCAGACACCAGACCACCCACCAAAATGTTTGGTCCTTTATGTCTTGTGTTTGCAGGTGAGAGACCAATAGTCTGGGCCTCGCACAGTGGTAAGTGCGGCCCAAATCTTCTCCAGCTGCCGGTGGAGGGCTGTCGGGCTCCGCTCTCTTGTGCCAGGACTGGTTGGGGCGAGGACTGTCCTGGCTGGGTTGCCACTGTCCCCATTTGCCTCAAAATCCGGCTGGTTTGTGCTGGGGGAGGCAGCAGCTCAGCTTGTGGAAATACCGCAATGCCTTAGAGGGCTTTGGGGAGCGCATTGTCTCCTGGAGAAGCTTCTGGAGAGGAGTTTGCAAACACTGAGGGGGTTTTTCAGGGGAACGTTTCAGCTTTGGCTGGAGACAGATCGGTGGTCGGGTCTTCTCCTTGCACCTGCTTCTCCTCTGGGCTTGCAGCGCAGATGGGGCTGGGGTTCCCCGGCTGAGTTGTTTTCCCTTTCCATCTCTCCAGCAGCACCAGGGCTCTCGGCGCTGATCCCAACATCCGCTCAGCAGCGTCCGCTGCACTCAGCTGCTCCATTCTCTCCCCACAGGTTTAAGGAATTCTGACGTGTCCCCCACGAGCCGCCCCAAGCCAAGAAGCCCAGAGGGAGGAGAGAGGCCGGGGCACGCCAGGAGCGTGTTGGTCTCGGCAGAGCCGAGGCACGGCCTCAGGCAGGGCCCTGCAAGCTTGTACCGCCACCAGGGGTTTGCTTCGGAGGGTGAGGAGCAGTCCGAGGGCCCTGGCTGACCGGTTTCCTGGGCCCATTTTTTGCCGTCGGCTGTTTTATTAATAAAAACATGCAAAACCTGTGTTGCCACTCCATGCCTTTTCCTGGCGGGCTCAGCCAGATCTGTGTGAGCTTGGGGGCGACAGTGTAAAAGGAAAAGTGTAGGGTCCTGCACCTGGGGAAGAAAGATGTCAGGCACCAGTACAGGTTAGGGGTGGACCTCCTGGAGACAACTTCTGAAGAGAAAGATCTAGGAGGCCTGGTGGACAGCAAAATGCCAATGAGCAAGCAGTGTGCTCTTGTGGCCAGGAAGACCAACGGAATCCTGGGCTGTGTAGGGCAGAGTGTGGCCAGCAGGTCAAGGGAAGTCATTCTCCCCCTCTGCTCTGCACTGGGGAGGCCACAACTGGAATCCTGCGTCCAGTTCTGGGCTCCCCAGTTCAAGAGGGACAGGGAACTGCTGGAGAGAGTCCAGCGAAGGGCTACAAAGATGATTCAAGGATTGGAGCATCTCCCTTATGAAGAAAGGCTGAGAGAGCTGGGACTCTCTAGTCTGGAGAAGAGAAGGCTGAGGGGAGACCTTATCAATGCTGACAAGTATCTCAAGGGTGGGTTGAAGGAGGAGGGAGCCAGACTCTTTTCAGTGGTTCCCAGTGAGAGGATGAGGGGCAACGGGCACAAGTTGGAACATAAGAGGTTCCACTCAAATATGAGGAAAAACTTCTTCACAGTGAGGGTGCCAGAGACCTGGAACAGGTTGTGGAGTCCCCTTCTTTGGAGATTTTCAAGCCCCACCTGGATGCCGTCCTGAGTAACATGCTCTGACAAGTTCTAGGCAATCCTGCTTCAGCAGGGGAGTTGGACTAGATGATCTCTATGGTCCCTTCCAACTCTAAAAATTCAGTGAAATTCAGTGAAATCGCTTTTCCCCACATACAGCCTCCCATTTGCCTGCCCCATCCCAGCGCTTGGTATTTCAGGATATCAGACCAGGACGACTGTGCCGAATCATTTAAGGCACTGTCTCACCAACAGCGTGACATTTATTCTACGTAGAGAACATCCATGGGCTCTTCACTGAGCCCTAAGTAAGTGGGATTTGCTCCTTGTCTCATCCCAACTGCAAAAAAAGGACCCCAAAGCGGCATTTTTTCTGATTATTACAATTCCTAAGTTGTACCATTTAGCCCCAAAGGAAGGACTCATAGCCATGTATCAGCCCCCACGCCATGGCAAACAGCCACTCACACACAGTGGCCGCCCTCAGTTAAGCGCAGGCGGCTGATGGTCTTCGTTACGCCACCTCCTAATTAGAAGGAGCCACACAACAGGTGCCTAGGGGCTCTCCCGGGACGTTAAACTGGCACCACTGGCCAGAGGTGGGTCTGGGAGGCCCCAGTAGCATCACTTGGTCAACATGGGGGCCAGCTGTGCAGCCAGCTGTGTGCTGGGACTCTGGGTGTGCAAGGAGCCGGAGCCGCAGGGCGCTAACGAGCCGTGGGATGTGTTTCCCAGCCCACTCGCCATCCAGGGATGGCACCCGGGCAGGCTTCAGCTCCCTGCCCAGGGGAGAGCAAGCACCAGTGCCAGGGCCTTTATACTTATGCACAGTATAAATCTGAACTCTAATTGACTTCACCTCCTTGGATCTTAACCCGAGGAGAAAACATCTGGGCCTAATGTGATTTTATTAAGTGCTGATTTCATCAGTGAAGGGAAAAAAAAAAAAGAAAAGAAAAAAAAAAAAGAAGAAAACCTGCTGGCCAGTTGGATCAGCTCCCTGTAAATCCCTGCAAGGCGATGGAATGGCACAGGGGGGACAGGCAACTTGGAGAGTGGCAGCTGCACATTTGAGGTGGCTGGAAGGTGATGGCCTTCGGTCCCCTCAACACTGACCAGAGATGTTTTTGATGGGGCTTGAAAACTCACGGGTTGCCTGCACCCTGGGGTAGAAAGCAGGAGAAATGACGGCACAGGCAGAGAAAAGCAAAATCCCCAATTGCCTTTTTTTTTTTTTTCCCCAGGAAAATAACCCTCCCCTGGGCAAAGGATTGATATCACAGCCTCCCCAGGCTGTGTGGCTCCTGGCAAATGTGGCCTTGGCAGCACCCGGGTCAGTGATGCCAGCAGAGGTGCCACGCACTGGGCTGAGAACAGCTATTTCAGTGCACGTGTGACTGAGCTTTCACTTTGCTTAATTGCCATCCATCTTGTGGAGGAGGATGGGGAGGGCTTGAAATACATTTTCAAGCAAAAGATCCCACAAGCCCTGACAAAAATCTACACAGACACACACCCCCCTGCCTTATTCTTTCAGCTGCTCATAGCTTTTCCGGGACAAATTTAGGCCTGGGCCACGTCCCGCTTGTGTTTGGAAAGTCTGAGCAGCCTTGGCTGCACTGCTGGGAGTGAGGAGAAAGGGCAGACGGCCCATGCAGTTTTAAACTTAAAAAAAAAAAAAGGAGCCAAATGCCAAAGAAAACCCCAGACCTCACTGCGATTTTTAGAGACTGAGGGGTGGGCAGGAAGGCCGGGGGGGGTGTCCCCTGGGTTTGCCCCAGCCAGAGGACTGTTTAAATTGAGCTGAGCTCCTCCGGGACAAGTCTGCATGACTCACCTCGTCTCATTCCTCCTCTGCTGGAGAGGGGGCCGCTGCTTTCCCCCCCCCCTGCTACGAGCCCCTTCAGCGCAGCATCGCGGCAAGGGGGCTGTGCGAGCCAGGAGAGCGCAAACACATTCCTGCTGCTGTCCTGTGGATGGCAATAAAAGCCATCACGTCTCCAACGAGCTCGTTAGAAGCCTGTTTGGTAAATGCAGAGCCTGGTTATTTTTCTGGAGGTGACACCCCAGCCCCCAGCACGGCAATAACGTTTCGGCTGAGGCGGCCTGGGAAGGGGTTGCACATATTTTGGAGGAACGCCGCTGGTCCACCGGGCTGCTGTGAAGATGAAGAGGTGGCTGGGGCATGGGCCATAATTACCTATGCAAGGAGCAGCCGGTGAACGCTGAAGGGCTTTTTAATTAGCAGCCAAAGGCAAAGCGGGAAAGGGAACGGCAAGGGAAGCTGAAGTCAGCAAAGTCAAGGTAGAAATAAGAGGCCAGCTTTTACCAGTGAGGGTAATTAAGTGCCGGCAGAGCGCAGCACGAGGCGTGAGGAATTGCCGTCATTCAAGGACCTTAAATTAAGGAAAGGAGTTTCTCCTGCAGACACTTGCTCTCCCTCCATCATCGCTCTGGCATGGCTCGGCCTCGGGCATGAGGGAGCAGCTGCCCTTGGCTCCGGTGAGCCTGTGATGAGCTGGGTACTGGCATCCCAGAGCGGGAGCACCCCCACTCACTTCTAACGAGCCAGGCAGAGAATTTAGGGGGAAAAGGGCTGTTTTCCCACCTGACCCAAAAGCAGCTCGGCCGCCCTCCTGGCACGCACAGTATCTTGTGCAAACATCCCTTTTGGCGTGGCAGGTTTCTCTCACTGGGATTTAGCAGGATTTTTCATCTGCGCAGGACTGGCTCCTTGGGACACGGAGCACCTTGTGCTCCCACCCTGCAAGAGGAAAGCTGGGATCATTTGCTCACAGTTTTGGGAGAAAGCTGGGCCAGAGCAGGCTCCTTGGCTATAACATCTCCTGAGCTCCCAACACCTTTGCTAGGGACCGAGAAGTTGGGATTTAAGCCAAACCCGCTCTCCTCCTAGACATTAATTGCCAAAAAAACCCAATAATCAGGGTGCTAGACAGAGGCGGATGTGCTAGTGAGAGGTTGTCCTCCAGGAGCTGAAGGACTGGGTGGGGGACAGCAGCAAAAACCAGCTTTTGGGGCTGGCTGGAAAGCAGCTCTGGCTCATACCAATTCCTTGACATGGTCTTTTTTTTTTTTTTTCCCAAAAATAAACAGGAACTGTCTGGAAAGCCCCTGCATGAGGAGGAGCAGAATTGTCTAGAATAAATAAATACAGGGAGAGAGCTCGGCTTGAGTTCATCCAGCTGGTTGTTCCCCACTGCCAAGGGTGGCGAAGGATGAGGAAGGAGCTCAAGATGTCTTGGGAGGGGTGAGCACATGGGGCTCTTTCCCCAGTTAACAGGATTTTTGGGAAAGCACTGAAGCAACCTCCTCATGCAAGAGCCACCACGTCCATCCTGCAGCAACGGCTTTCCTCTCTCCCCAAAAATCTCCCCCACACGATGAGCCTTTTGACTTATTTTAGTTACAAAATGATTAAGAGGAGAGAAAAAGCAAACACCTTGAGTTTATTTGCGGCACAAAACGGGAAGAAGCTTCACATTTCTGCTTTTAGGGTTGTTTTTTTTTAGTGCCCCAGCTGCTTTTGCCACAGCTTCCCCATTCATCGGGCTCAAAGCCTGGCAAAATGCTGCCTCACCGAGGCTCTGCAAACCAGCCTGCTGCTCTCACACAAGCATGGGGAATAAAGATGCAGCAGGCGCAGAGCTGGAGCGAGCTGCAAGACTAGCTTCGTGTTCATAAATGTTATTAAGATGATGAATTAAATATGAATTTTGTTTCAGGCATAACTCCAAAATCACCAAGAGACCCGACACGCTTGTGTTGCATAAATGCTCGGCATGTTCCTGAACACGATAGTTTGACTCCCTTGGACATAAGCTTCAGGATAGGAAGGGATTGAGCGTTTACACGGCTGGAAAAGTACAGACACCTCTCCTCTGCCTTTTTTTGAAATGTACTTACACATTTTTAGCTGACCGAGTTAGGGCTCCCGGGTGCTGTCGCTAAAGTGTCGCTAGCTCTGCCTTATTAATCTTTCATGTCCTGATAGCGATATTTTGTGACTGACAGCAGGCAGGACAGGGCTGGGAGAAGCCAGCCAGTTCTTTTATTTCCTCTTCACTGTCTTCAGTTCAAAATGAAAAAAGAATTAATCTCTAAAATAGGGAGAAAAAAAGATAATCGGTATGAGAGCTACGAGTTTCTTGCCCTTGGGTTTTTGGCCATATTGCCCCTGAACATAGCTCAGGGCTGCAGCACCATCTCACCCTCGGCTTCAACCTCACAGCAATACCTGCTGCCCGTGCAACCGTGAAGGCTGAGCAGCTCCATCCCTCTGGGGCCAGAAAACAAAACCTGTAACCACAACTCACCTCACCCAGCTACCACGGGGCACCCATGGGAACCTCTCCCTGGTGCAGCACGGATGGTGAAGGCTCCTTCCCGGCTCTAAAATGGTCACACTACACTCCGGGCCACCAAAATGCTTTTCTCCTGCAAGGAAGTTAAGCCTTGTGAGATTTCATGCAAGAAAATAAACCATAGCTATTGAGAGATTGGTCAGAGAGTGCAAAGCAGTTGTTATTGCTAGTTAAGTACAGCCAGCCAGCCTGTGCGAGCTGCTGTATCAACAGATTGATTTGCAGCGCAGGCAGGAGGCCGAGCTGTCTGCCAGCTGACAGCCTGGCCCAGCCTCCCTGCTCCACTTCCCTTCCCCTCCTTTCCAAAAAAAATATGGAGAAAAATGGGATTTGACCCCATCACTGCTGCGGAACAACATGAAGTGGATTTTCCCCACAGGAGGAAAGGTATCAGAGTTAACTACTGGCTTCAGCACCAGTGTGAGTAATGTTTTTATTGTATAGGGTAGCAGAAACCGTGAGCCTTCACCTTCCCTCCTAGGATGAGAGTCCCCAGTCAAAGGGACTGTCCCCAACAGTGCTGAATTTCCAAAAACCCCCACGTTTCTGCCATGGGAAACGGTGGTTTTCAGAGACACTGTCACCAAGGGTTGGCAAAAGGTGATGATCCTGGAGAATAAACAAAGACCCAGTGAGGGGTTTCTTAAGAGAGTTTTATTAAACTACAGTGAAAAAGGAATGGTAACAAACCATCTGGTGTGGATAACAACAACAAACCATCTCGACTCAGCTCAATTCATTGAATCAAGGGTGGTACCAAGTGCGTGGATTTCAACTCTCCTGGAAAAAGACAAAAGAGAGAGGTTAAAGCACCTTTGCCATCTGCAGAGTCCCTGGAGAGGAATGCACTTGTGCTCAGTGCGAACTTTGTTTTTAAAGATGGAAGATGCAGCACTGGGTGCAAGTGACACACTTGGCTTGCTTCGCCAGCTCTTTCTGAGCTCGGAAAAACTGACGCGAACGGTCTCCTGGTCCCTCTTCCTGGCTTATTGCCATGAAATCGGGATTTCCCCCTTGTGGGGATTTCTGCCTCTGGTTGCCGCTAGCTGCTGTGGAGCGGTTTGGCGTACACCGGCTCCATGACGTGGTAAATCAGGAGCAGAAACAGGCACCCAAGTACGACCAGGCTCATCACGGCCAGGAGGACAAAGCGGCCAATGAAGAAGGTGTCCACAATCTGCAGAGAATGAAAAAAACCCACACATTACAGCCTGGAAGGAGCACGCCATATCCTGGAAAAGAGGACCGTCTGAGAAGATCGCCCCAGGAGGAAAAACTTTGGGGTTCCCCCAGATTTGTCCCCTTGCTTTTCATTCCTGACACGGGTGCTCTCTGTGGAAAGCGGTGTGTGTGTCAAATGATTGAAAGAAGAATCCCTTTTCTTGAGGGAAAGCTAACATGGAGGAAAAAAGCAGCAGAGCCCAGGGAAGAAACACGAGTCAAAATCTCTCCCCAGCCACAAACCACCCACCGCTGCAAGGAACTGTGCACAGTTCTTCCCTTTTAGAAGGAAAATGAGACGGGGGGACAGAGGAAGAAAAAAAGATTAAAAAAAGAAGACATAGCAGCAAGGCAAGACACAATGAGAAGCCAACCACAAGAAGGCTGGCTATGAAATCATCCTCTCGGCTCCTGAGACTGCCCCGGAGCTCCTCTCACCCCCGGCTCAGTTTGATAAATCGCATTAGCACACGCTCAGCCTCGGTGCTGCTGCAGAAAGAGTCTCTTGTGAGCGATGCGTTGGCTCCTTCTGCACGTTTCACTTTTTAATTAGCCAATTAGCAGAGTTTCACTGCAGAAAGCCCAGGTCATGTATTATTGATAGTCAGGGCAGGTCCAGTCCAATTGAAGATCCAAAAAAAAAAAAAAAGCTTTCCATTTCTGTTGGCCTCCCGGGCACAAATACGCACTCAAGCTGCCCTTCATCTCGCTTCCAACCTTTACACGAACAGGTCCCACGCAAGGCAGAGAGAAGGAAAACTACAAGAAGCTTTAGCAGGGATTTACACAGATCAAGCTCCAGAAGAGCCATAATTGATGTGTGTTAATAATAGAACAGAGGAAACGGCACCTAAAACGCCACAAAACTCTGTGTATTCTAAGCCCAAAGAGCTCTGGGAAAGCTCAAGATAGTGCAGGCAGCCTGATGTGACTCAGAATCGGGGGAGATCCCCACGCCTAACACCACAGACAAGGGGCTGCCTGAAAACACAGATGGCTCCATGCCTGAGTGTGGCGAATCACCTACAAGAGAGCCAAAACGATGTTACTGAGCTTTAAAAATAGAAAACAGAGCTGGGAGAAAGTGAGAGGCTGCAAAAATAGAGGGAAAACTATCAAAACTATCTGCCATGTGGCTACAGACGTGCTCTGGGGCGTGCTGGGAGATGGAGGAAGTTGGGGAGCATGGAAAACCAGGATCAAGCTGTGAAAGGGGGTAGCAGAGGGTTAGCAGAAGCTACTGGAGCTCAGGGCTGAGCTGTGTGGGATAAAAGTATGAGTGCAATTCTCCCCTTTGAGAATGGGAGCTAAACCCCACAGGTCACATATAACTGCACATAAATAAGAGATTTTATTAAAGAAATAAACAGATCCCTGCTCTGTGAGTGACGCAGCCTGCGCCCATGGCAGCCTGTGCCACAGAATGAACCGCTTGAGACTGAAAAGGTGGCACAGGACCATCGCCGATGTACAGACCCATCGCCAAGGCCTTGGGGCACCCATGGAACCCCTTCCTAAGGTAAAAACCCATCCCTGGTACCTCAGGGCAGCTGTTGGGGCCCATACTGAGATAAAGACCCATTCTGAAGACCCTGGGGCAACCCTTGGGATCCAGCCCTGAGGTAAAGGCCCATCCCCAGGGCTATTCCTGAGTGTAAAGGCCTATCCATGGGGCCTCGGGGCAGCCCTTAGGGCTCACCCCGGAGGTAAAGGCCCATCCTCAGCCTCTGAACACCCCTGGGGGCTGTTCCTGAGGTAAAGGCCCATCCCCAGGGCCTCAGGACAACCCCTGGGACCCCTTTCTGAAGGTAAAGGCTCACCCCTGGGATCTTATGGCATCCATGGGGGCCACCCCGAATTAAAGGCCCATCCCTGGGGTAAAGGCCCATCGCCAGCGCCTCAGGGCACCCATGGAGGCCCATTGCTGAGGTAAAAGCCCATTGCCAGGGCCTCAGGGCACCCATGGGGGCAATCCCCGAATAACAGGCCCATCCCTAGGGCTATTCCTGAGGTAAAGGCTCATCCATGCTGCCTCAGGGTACCCATGGGGGCAATCCCCGAACTACAGGCCTATCCCTAGGGCTATTCCTGAGGTAAAGGCTCATCCATGCTGCCTCAGGGCACCCCTGGGGGCCATTCTTGAGGTGCCTCAGGGCAGGCCTTGAGGCCTTCCCTGAGGTAAACACCCATCCCCGAGGACTCGGTGCACCCGTGGGTCCACGCCAGAGGTAAAGCCCCATCCCCAGGCCTATTCCTGTCCCCATGGCCATCTCTGAGGTAACATCCCACCACCCCCGGCCCCTCTGGGCCCCGCAGGCCGTGGCGTGGGCTCACCTCGGCGGCGGCGGCTGCGACCGGGTGCTCATCCTCCCGAGGAAAAAGCAGCAGCGCGGCGCTAAGGACGGCGGCTCCCAGCGCCACCAGCACCACGGCGAACCTGCGGGGAGAGGCGGCCTTCAGCACCGGAGCCGGACTGATCCCACCCCCGCCTTTTCCCGCTGCTCACCGGGCCCGGCCAGCCGTGCGGGACAGAGCCAGGCAGAACAGCAGCGCCAGGCCCCATAGGAGCTGCAGCACCAGCACGCCGGGTCCCACGCCCAGCGCCATACCCGCCATGCCGCTCCGCCGCCGCTTCCCCCTAGCAACCGCGCTGCGCCGCCCGCTCCCCAGCCAATCAACGCCGCCAGACGCCCGCCCGCCGCTTCCCATTGGTTGAGGGGCGGGGCGCAAGGGGGCGGGCCGCGGGTTTTCCCGCGCCGCGAGAGGCGGGAGCGCGCCGGCGGGGTGCGAGCTGGTGCTGGTGGCGGGTTTGGGTCTCCCCGGTGGCCGGTCTGTGTCTCCCCGGTGGCGGGCAGCTTACAGGAGCCTCTTGCAGTCGCTGCCCCCCCTCGCCAACAGGCGCCCCCATCCCGGTCCAGGGGTGATGCTCCCTGTGGAACTGGAATGTCCCAACCCCCGCCGCCGCCGTGACGGATCGGTGCTTGATTAACCCGGGGTTACTCGTTGAATAGGCTGTGCCACCGGCCCTGGTCGCCTGGCTACCCTGCTGGAGGCGGCACCTCGCTTTGAGCAAGGTTTCAGCCCCTAAACCCCGAAAATTTAGCTGCTCGTGTCCTTAAAATATTTTGGGCCAAAATCAGGTAGATTTGATTAATACACGGTGGAATATAGCAGGGTTTCACGTTGCTGTGAGACAGCTACACCAGGCATCTTGAGGCCTCCGAGCTGAGCGAAGGAGGTTTGTCAATGCACGGAGACGGGAGTTATTTCCATTTTAAACCCATTTTTCTGCCATTTTTTAAATCCAATTTCTTCCCCATCTCATGGCACCTGTCACACTCTGGGCAGTGTGGTTTGATGGGTGACTTGATGCCAGTGCTTACCTCTCATCTTTCGGTTAACCTGAAAAAATGTAAATACATTGATATATTCAGTTTTTTCCTCTCAGCTCCTTGAGATGTGGTGATAATTTGACTGCATAAAATGTTACCGCTGTTTTCTTTCTGTCATGTCTTTCAATGGGAGGAATAAACCGGCAAGTTAATGATGCTGCGCGGCACCGACCACGGTGAGATGGAAGTCGCCGGTGTGACACCAACCGGTTGGGCAAGCGGAGCGCAAACCGTCGCCGACACCTGCCTTTGCTTGGCACCAAGTAGGAGCCGCCTGCCAACATATTAAAAGCCTATGTTTGATAGCAAACTCCTTCCTGCACTCTCTTGTTGCCCATATCCCATATTTGGATTTTTTCTCGTCAGCGATGTCCTTCTTCAACAGCCTTCTGCCAACCGTTCTCTTTCGTTATTCCCTCTCCTGTTGGCAATCAGAACCTTCCTTTGTTTTTCTCTGTTTTCTTATTTCTTCACATTTTTTTGGACCCTGTTCGTTTGTAAAACCCCTAAATTCTTCTTCATAGCCCTGTTTTCCCAGACGCCCTTCTCTTTCTGCCATTTCTCTTCCATCATTGGCTTTCTATCTATAAGTGGTAGTCTTTGTCCATCAGCCAATGATGCTTTCCCTTTACTGAATTTTCCTTTCTGCCTTTTATCTGCAGCTTCTACCACAGCATTTTAACCTGTTCCCATATTGACTGGGTCTTTTCACTATTTATTATCTCCTCCATCTCCTTTTGGTGCTGCCTGGTAGTTTCTTGATGCTGGCAATGTCGATGTTAAGCAAGGTCAAAAGGTTGCAGCAGAGAGCTTGAATCATCCAGCTGTTGAACCCGCTGCTGGACCATGCCACATCCCAGATATTTGGCCAGAGGTTGAAGAATAAATCTGACCTACACCTCAGCAGCCACATCCAGTGGCCAGGTTTTAGCCGTGTTGCTTGTTGAGCTTGATGCCATCTGTTGTATCCAGTATAGTTGGGTTGATGGTAACTCAAGATCTGGAGATGAAATGATGCCCAGCAGCCCAATGCACTCCAAAATATCCCTGTAATATTTATTTATATGGCACATATGGTGTTGCAGCAGGGTTATGGATTTCTTTTCAGCACGACCGTAAATCCACAGCTAAGGAATTGGGAGAAGGTACCTGGGAAAACAAACCTCATTGGTGTGATATTTCCAAGCACAACCTTCCCTCTTCAACGCATCCGCAATGAAACATATCATCCACAGCACTCTCTTCTTTATCTCAGCCTCCTCCTGGCATCAGAAGTGTCTCGGTGGGGATTTACCGTATGGGACTGCTCTGGCAGCGGGTCAGTTGAATGCAAAGATTAGATTTTACGGCCAAAGAAAAATTTATTGCTGTCCTAAAATTAGGCGTTTTTTTTCCAGCTTTTACCCACTAGGATTGGATATCATTACTGCTTGTGTTGTATTGTACCTGTAAGAAAAACAACTAGAAAGGGGGGGAAAAGCAACGCTGAATATAAAATGTTAATTACAAAATGTAGGAAAGCAGCAGAAATTGAGGATTTTTGATTCCTTGGCTCTGGGAGAAACTTCATATTTGTGGCTCTTTTTCGCTCTGGGGAGTTCCCCCCCCAGTGCTGCCTCCAGCTCTGGGGCCACCAACAGCAGAAGGACATAGACCTGTTGGAGAGGGGCCAGAGGAGGCCACGGAGATGCTGGGAGGGCTGGAGCCCCTGTGCTGGGAGGGGGGGCTGAGAGAGTTGGGGGGTTCAGCCTGGAGAAAAGAAGGCTGCAGGGAGACCTTAGAGCCCCTTCCAGTCCTTAAAGGTACCTAAAAGTACTGGAAAAATGGGGACAAACTTCTTAGCAGGGCCTGTTGTGGTAGAAAAAATGGTAATGGTTTTAAGCTAAAAGAGGGTAGATTCTAACTAGATATAAAGAAGAAATTTTTTTACAATGAGGGTGGTGAAACACAGGCCCAGGTTGCTCAGAGAAGTGGTGATGCCCCATCCCTGGAAACATTCCAGGTCAGGTTGGAATGGGCTCTGAGTAACCTCCTCTGGTTGAAGAAGTCCCATGGCAGGGGGGGTTGGACCCAAACTATTCTATGAGTCTGTGACACTTCATCACTGTGGTTGGGTTTCCCAAGGAAAAGATGAGGGGATTGTGGCATTTCTTGGCAAAAGCATGGAAAAGATCCTGATGTTGGAACTGGACAAAATGGACTTGGCAGGGAGATGCAATTAGCGCTGAGGCCCAGGAGGACAGAGAGGTCACCTTCCTTCAAGGGCTGCAAGGCAGGATCATATGGATCAAAGGTTTTTTGTAAGATGCCGTTTGAGGAGCAGACCCCAGAAGCAGGGTGGGTTTGGGCTGAGATGGTCATTTTTGGGTTAAAAACTGCAAATTCACTGTGCCTAGCTCATTCGGTGGCCAAAATGACCAACGTGGTCTAATATCAAATGACATTAAATGGTAAAACTCTTGGCGATGGAGTTGGAAGCGCTGGGGAAATTGATTTAAAACTCTTCGCGCAGTCGTAAAACTCACGGTTTTACAGCTGAAGCTCCCTGACGCTCAGATATTAGAATTAAAAAGAAACAGGCGTTGATGCAAGCAAGAAAATATTCTACTCCTGATTTAAAGACTAGCGAATTGCTAAATATTTTTATTAGCAGCAAATTTGCAGCTTGCTGGAACTAATTTCACGCCGAGTAGATATGGAGCTTAAGCTGGGGATGGCGTTAAATTACTCTCTTGTAAAGGTATTTAAGTCTTATGATGGGGATGCCATTAAATGGTGGGGACCTGGCTGGGGACCCCTTTTTTGGGGTCGCACCTCGTGAGTTGCGAGGCAGGGAAAGCCGAGCTCTTGTAGCATTGGTACAAACCCATCATTCCCCCCCTAGATGCAACAGAAAGGACCAAACCCCCTCATTTGCATAAATTTGCTTAGGAGGTTTGCTGCAAACCAGCACGGAGTGAGATGCTGCGGGGGCCCATGATCTTTCAGTCTGTAAAGATACTTTAGGGGTGTTTTTGCCATATTTCAGAGTTTATTTAGGATATTGAAGGTTTAATTGATTTAATTATTTTTTTTTGTTTATTTAATAAGGTTAGAAAGTTTATTTAATTCATTGTAATTATTTTAATTGATTTTATATTCTGGGTTTAATTGATTGAAGAGGTGATGGGTAGTGGCTGGATCCCCAAGTGCTGCTTGCCCACCATGCCTGTTATTTCCACATCTTCTTCCTCTGCTGGAGGTTTTATGCCTTAGAGATGGTTTTCCAGCCCAAATCCCTCCATCCTCCTTCTGCAAAGCCTCCGGGTGCACTGGGAGCCACCCAGCTTAATGCAACACGAAAAGCCCATCCTGTGTCAGTTTGCCCGGATACAAACTGGGACAGGTGCAGGGATGGGGTCAGAGGATGCAGAGCCCGAGAAAGCAAAGCGAAGGCGTCTAGGGGATCCGATTACCCCTCTAAAAATACCTCTGGGAGGGTGGCAGTGGTAAACAAGAGCTATTTAAATCCCCCGGTCCACTTTCTGCAATGGAAATACATGAGGTTAAATAGTTCTTCACGACTTCTCAGAGAGAAGTATGGCTGAGAAGTGCTAAGTTGCCCTTTTCCAAAGAGAATTCCCTAAGAAAAGACATTTAAAATAATAGGAGAGGGTTTCTAACGGCTCCAGTGGGGATACAGCTCTCTCACAGGAACCCACTTCGGATTATCTTTCTTTTGCTGATGGCGGAAATCAATTTTAATTGTCCTGACGGGAAATAAGGATGTAAGACTTCAAACAGAACAAATCCTGCAACGTTCAAAAAATAATAAAATGGGACATGAAGCACTATAAAAAAAAATTAAAAAATCCCATCCCAGCAAGAGGAGATGCCTCTGAAAGCCCCAAAAGGCCCCATTTGGTAAGAGGTGAAGGAGCAAAAGGATTTCCTGTGGTGGGATGAGTCTGCCCCCAACCAAGAAGTGCTTGGAGAAAGTGGATGGAGGATGATGAGGTGGGAGGAAGTTGGTTGTTTTTTGATTCTGGTGACTTCTTATACTAAATGAAATTTTAATTCAGTCCAGTAAATTTGTACATCAGTACAAATATGAGTCTTCAAAGTTAAAGCAACTGCAGAGTGATTTCCCTAAAAAGCCCTACCAAAAAAAGGTCCTATAGATGTCTTCTGGGATGTCTTCTTAAATGTTATCATGGCCACACAGGGAGACATTTTCTAATGGGATCAAAGCCTCTGGGTG